CAGTGCTTTTATCAGGGCCTGCTGAGCAAATCTGGGGGTCTCTGTCCCGGAACGCAGACAGAGCCACACCAGCAGCACATGGGGCCAGGCACCGCAGGATGTCAGCGTCACAGGCAGACAGGAGGAAGAGGGACCAGTTCAACTGGTTCTGTGGGCACAGTTAGGGGCCTCTATCTACAGGGAAAACCAGAGCGCCAGACGCCACCTCAGGTGGTGTAAACTGGCACAGCTTTGCTCACTTACACCAGCTAAGGATCTGGCCCCACATGCCCGGTTGTGTCCTGTTACCTGCCACAGTAAAGAATCAAGTATTCAACCGTATTGAGTGATGACACCAACCAGCTTAAGAAGCTACAGTGTCACTAACTGGTTACAAACTCAATGAATCTGCAGTGTAGACAGGGCCCCTTGGGAAGGGAAGCACCATGATATCACACTGGATCTATCCTCGGGGACGCTAGCTACTGCTGACCATGCTGTGTGTCCCAGGGCTTGTGCAGATTTGCCATGCTTGGAGCTGATCTCGTTGCCTGGCACTGGGATTTTTTTGTCTTTAGCACGTCAGTGCTCTTTTCTCCATGCCCGGATACTGGAAGGAATTTGCCGGCATCCAGTTACAGCAGGGTTGGGACATGATATCCTCCCGATATTACTACTCGCAGGGTGTTGGCCTGCTTGCAAGGTAGGAGCCCAAAGTTTCCTCTTCATTGGGTCTCTCTTGGGAATGGGATTTCCGTGTGAAATATTCCTCTGTTCCAGCTGCCATCTCAGCCCAGCAACTAGAGAGGAACTCTCTCTCCCCCTTGATAACCACAAGGGACTTTCTGTTCCATGTTCCAGAGCCATGATCGAGTTTGAGAGCCCTCAGCTCCCTACAGTTTTCAGAGAGGCCGTCACCATCGTCCAGAGTGAGAAGGAGGATGAGCAGAGAAATATCGCCATGACTTTCTGCACTGAGGTGAGATTCATTAATTGACAGGCACAAGTGGGCTTTCTGCAGAGCAGCTCAGGCCAGTAAGCTCTGGGGCACATTGTCAGGAGCTCAGCAGCCTACAGCCAGCTAGCTCCTCTCCACACATGGATGGCTGTGGGGCACGGCAGAGAGAGGGAGGGAGAGACAGGGTGAGATCGCCCCTGGCTGGATGTGCCTAGATGGGATCATGTGACACGAGGAGATGTTTCACCACTGCCCCAAGGCCATGCTGCTCTCCTCACCTTTTCTTGGGGTCTGCTTTTCTTCTGCCCCAGGGGTTGTTCCATGGCACTCAATGGGGCCTGGAGATTCCCCTTTCCATTTGTGACTTATACATTAGTCTAACTTCTGGGAATGAACCAACTGAAAGAGCAGCAACTGGCTCCCTACACCCCAGAGACTTTGTACGGGAGTAAGTGGCCATTTGGTAAAGATGACTATCCTGACTTCCTGACCCCACTACCCATCTCCTTACCACAACTTAGCATCTGACTGGTGCATGCAGGCTACCC